CGACCTACGTCCTCAGACCGGAAACGGTCCGGCAGATGGTGGTGATCACTACCACAGCTAAAAATGGCAAAAGATCTTCTGCTTCTGCTCCCCTGGCTGATTTGAAGCTGCTCCAGCAGAATGGAGGAACCGGAAATGGCTACAGGAGAAACCTCGACGGCGGTGGTGGTGGTGGTGGTACCTTATCAACTGAATTTTATCATCGCAAAGACAGCAGCAAAGACAGCGGCGGCGGAGGCAGTGGCAATCCTCGAGGCCTTAGACTGACGAGCTCTGAATAAGCCTCTCTTTTTGTAAATCAGGATTTGAAGTGACCAATTCCGAGCTTCATCCTTGTGTATCTGTATTTTCTTTTTTGGCAGTATTATTACAGGTGGTGTGTATGTCTCGAAGAAAAAAGAAAGGGAAGAAGTATTTGTACAATGAATGGGAATGGGAATGGGAATGGCAATGTGAGAATGGGAGTAGGAAAATAAATAAATGAAAATGAATTGACTGGTGAGCAGAGAGCATATTCATGAAGAAGAAGAAAAAGAAGAAGTGTTAGTTAGTCTCGGGTCGCATAATTATCATATACTCTTCATCCAAACAGTGTGTGCTGTGTTGTACTTTCCATCATTTTCACCCTCCTCCTCCTCCTCAGCGGTAGAGCACATCAATCTGGTCGTCATCCTCGAGGTCGTAGTCATTGACCAGGCCGCCCAGCGCCATCTCCTCCGAGTCAAACTCAAAGACAATCGTTTCGGGGGCCACTTCCCGCTCCCGGGCAAAGGCCTCCAGCAGGGAGCGGAGGCTCTGGAAGCGGTTCGCCCGCAGAGTGACCTTCTTCCGCTTGCTGTTGTCGCGAAAGTGCAGCGTGAGAAAGTTTGGGTCAGAGGTTTCATTTGAGTTTGAGTTTGAGGCTTCAGCTTCGGCAGCTTCCGTAGATGAGGTGACGGCCGCTGATGACGTTGCTGCTGAAGCATCTTCTGCGCCAGTCTTTGTAGAACTTCGAAACATCACCTCGAGAATGTCGGCAATGGTCAGGCCAAGGGAAAGGGGCGTGGACCGCGGGTCGACCAGCTCATCGCGGTGGTAGAGGGCAATGTTGGCGGCGGGCAGGAGGGGCCAGAGGGCGCTGATCTGCTCAAAAGCGGCGGAAAGGGGTTGGCCGGCGCGGATCGTCACGGAGCGAATCTGGTTCAGGCGTTTTAGCTTTAGCTCGATGGGGCTGTCCTCCTTTGAGCAGGGGAGGGAAGTGTTGAGGAGGGAGGTGTTGTTTAGGGAGGTATTTAGTGAGGTGTTTAGGGAGGAGCTGTCATTCAGCGAGAGATTGTTAATGGGACCGCTGAGGTTGCTGGCTGATGCCTCTTCAGTGGTGGTGGTGGTAGTGAGCGGAGGTAGCTTTTCTGGAGACGATGACACTGATGAAGAGGTTTCGCTGCCGCCGCTGTTCGAGGCCTCACTGCCCAAGGTGATCACCTCGACTTCTGCTGATGCTGCAGCCAATGCCGACGTGGCACTTCGAGTTCTCGCTATCTTCGGCGGCGAGCATCTCTGGTCCGCTGTGTTCTGCTTTTCGGGCGAAGAAGAGGGCCGCTTTTTTGTTGGCTTCTTCTGCGGCGGCTTCGGCTGCTGCCGGCGAGGCATCATCACCACCGTCTCCTCGCCGTCGGACATACAAATTACCTCCTCCATCTCCACCGCCGGTTCCTTCTCCTTTGGCTTTGCTTTTTCTTTTGAAGCAGGCTTTTCTTTGCTTCTTCTGCCCCTTGAGGACCTCTTTTTAACTGTTGTAGAAGTTGTGGTGGTGGTGGTTTTTGAAAGAACCAGGCAGGCCTCTAGATCAAGGTCGATGATCGCCTCCTGCAAAGAGTTGTCGCTGTTGTTCAGTTCCTTTTCAGGACTGTTCTCCTCTTCTTTGGGTGGCTTGACCACCACCTCCTCTTCATCTTCCTCCTCATTTTTCGCCCTTGACTTTCGCCCCTTCTTGGCCACCTTTTCAGACGGCTTCGGCTTCTTTTTATTAACTCTGAACTGACTTTCCAGTGCCTTGGAGAGCAGGGTGCTACTGTGGTGGGCCGGTTTGCTGTTTTTGAGAGTCCTCAGGCCGCGATTGACGGCGCCGCTGATGAAGCTCGGTTTGGCCGAGGCCGCCGCCGCAGTTGATTTATCATCACTTTTGCTATCAACGGCGGAAAAAGTAGCAGCAGCAGCCTCGTTGTTGTTGTTGTTCGGTTCGTCATCTCGGTCGTCGCTGTCACTGTCGCTGCTCTCCGAATCGGAGCAGTACACAATCTTCTTTCGAGAGACGTTCTCCTTCTCCTTTGCACTGAAGGTGGTGGTCGTCGTCGTTGTCGTCTTTTTAGTCGTCGTCGTAGTCCTCTTCTTCGGCTTCAGCTTCGCCTTCTGCTGATGATCCATCGAGGTGACAACTGCTTCTGCTGCTGCTTTTGTTGATGTTGATGAGGATAAAGAATAAGATGATGGTGATGACGATGAGCTTGGTTGGTTGGTTGGTTGGGATGACACTGTCAGTATTTCAGTAAATCAAGTAAAGAAATAAAGAAAGAAACGTGTTTAGTGATTTTCAGAGTTCTAAATCAGCTGCTGCAAAAAAAGTCCGTTTTGTTTTGAATTTCGCAGGGTTTGACAACATTCCCCACCCCCTTCATAGAAGACGTACCAAAATCGAAACAGTGTTTCGAAATACCAATGTTGAACTTTAATGAAAGAAGTTTAAGTAAATATAAAAGAGAGGATAGAAACGCAAGATAAAGATACAAGATAAAATCAAGATAAAAAACCGTGGTTCAGTCATCAATCAACTCAATAAAGGGGGATTAAAAAAGGGGTAGCACTTTTGAGCACAGGGGATTACTTCACAGCAGCTTGACGTAGTTGGCGGGAAAGAGGCCCACCTGGCCGGCCCGGTTCCGCCCCCGCCACCACCCACTGTCCACCTGTTCAATCTCGGTGATAATGTCGTCCGGGTCGAAGGAGATCTCATCCGACTCGGCCGCCTCGTAGTCGTACAGGGCAATGGCGCTCTGTCCTTGGCCTTCACTCGAAGGAGAAACTTCCACTTCAGCTGTGGAGTTGCTGGTAAGCTCTGGCGTCGGTGATTGTTGCGTTTGTTGTTGTTGCGTTTGTTGTTGTTGCTGTTGTTGTGCTTCGATTTCCTTCTCCTCCGGCTCATCCTTCCAAGCATTCTCCTCCTCTTCTTCCTTCTCCTCTTCTTTTTGCACGGGAATTGCTGATGTCATTGCGGTTGCTAGGGCCGAAACTGCTGCTGATGCTGCTGCAGGTTGTGGTGATGGCGGTGACGGTGGAGTTTGCTGAACTGTTGTTGCTGTTACCTCCTCCTCGGGAACTTCCGCCACCTTCACTCCCATCGCTGCTGGACCACTACTCTTCTGCTGCTGTTCTAGCACCGGAAAGACGCTGACGCCAATGCCTCGCCCAAAGGCGTGCGGACTTTTGACCGGGGAGGATGGCACCTCTTCTGCCTCATCATCATCATCCGAACTGGAAGAATCTCTTCGACCTCCTCGGTGGACAATCTTCTCCTCCGCCTCCTCCTTCTGGCCCATCTCCAAGGAGGAGTCCTCCTTTAGCTTTGCCTGCCGATCAGCCTCGGCCTGCCTCGCCTGCTCACTCTCCAGCTTCTCCCGTTCCAGCCGTTTGGCTCGCTCCGCGTCAAGTCGCTTTCGCGACTCCGACTCGTCCGCCTTGGCGAGATTTTCGAAACGGGCTCGAAGTGACTTGGCGTCGCCGCCTTTCGCTTCGATTTTGGGCTTTTCTTTTTCTTCCTCGCTGGTGGTCTCCTTTTGCCAGCTATGGGCGGACTTGTCGAGGCGGTCCTTCTCCACGCCAAACCTCCCGCCGAAGCCCTTGCTGCCGTCTAGCTGAGAGGAGTGCTTCTCCACCTTCTCGTGGTGCTCCCAGCCGACGGCCGACTTATCAAGGCGGTCCTTCTGAACGCCAAACTTCCCGCCAAAGCCGACTGAGTAGTCTGCAAAAAAAGGAAATGATGAGTTGAAAGAGATAAAAAGAGATGATTTTTAGCTTACCTTTCTGCGACTCGTGCTTGTCCACCTTCTCGTGGTGTTCCCAGCCGACGGCCGATTTATCGATTCGGTCCTTCTGAACGCCAAACTTTCCTCCAAAGCCGACCGAGTAGTCTGAAAATAAAAGGTTTTAAGTTGTATTTTTTTAAAAATAGAAACCTTCTACTACCTTTCTGCGATTCGTGCTTGTCTACCTTCTCATGATGCTCCCAGCCGACAGCCGACTTGTCCAGCCGATCCTTCTGGACACCGAATTTACCTCCAAAACCAAAGGAGTGATCTGAAGTTTAAAGCATTAGATTGTACAAATTCTGTTTTAGAGCCAAATCTTTCCCTTACCTTTCTGAGACTCATGCTTATCCACCTTCTCGTGATGTTCCCAGCCCACCGCCGACTTATCGACTCGATCCTTCTGCACGCCAAACTTTCCGCCAAAGCCGAAAGAGTGATCTGGGAGGAGAAAGGAGAAACAGAAAATGACCAAGTTCTTTTCAATCAAGGTTCCAACAAAAAAAAGTTACCTTTCTGCGACTCATGCTTGTCCACCTTCTCGTGGTGCTCCCAGCCGACGGCCGACTTGTCCAGGCGGTCCTTCTGCACGCCAAACTTTCCTCCAAAGCCAAAGGAGTGATCTGAGGAAGGTGGAAGAAAATGACAGGGCAAAAAGAAGAGGGAAAAAGAAAGACGTTAGAAGGTCTAACCAGTGCAAATAAAATATTCCTCAAAGTTAGAACTCACCTTTTTGCGACTCATGCTTCTCCACCTTTTCATGATGTTCCCAACCGACCGCCGACTTATCAACTCGGTCCTTCTGGACGCCAAACTTTCCACCAAAGCCCGCCGAGTGGTCCTTCTGCGAGGCGTGGGCCGCGAGCTTCTCGTGGTAGTCGAAGCCGACGGCGGAGGCGTCCTGGCGGTCCGTTTGCACGCCAAACTGCCCGCCGAAACCTTTCTTCAGGTCCGTCTGCGACTCGTGAGCCGTCTTCTCCTTCACGACGCTGTCCTCGGCGTGGACGTCGGTGCGGAGTTGGTCGAGACTGGAAGAGGAGGAAAAAATTGGGATTTAGAAATTGAGGAAAGGAATTTCGAAATTTCGAAAATCACTTACTCAATGGCCGCCGCCGAGCGCCCCGAGCCGGACACTGTCTTGGAGCCCCAGCGGCTGTCCGCCTCGCTGACGTCGTTCTAAATGGGCGGGAAAAAAGGGTTGAAAAAATTTATCAAAGGTCTTTCAAAGCCTATCAAGTTAAAAAAGGGAAACTTACCACAAAATCTGGATCAGTGTCCCAGTTGTCGTCGTCGTCGTCATCACCTCCTTTGGACTTGAGAGCTTCCGGTTTGACGTACTGTGCACTTCGCCACATCTTCTTTTTCTATTTATAAAATCTTCTTTTTCTTCTTCAATAAAATCACAATAGAACAAACTAAAAAGCTACTGCTGCTGCTGCTGCTTTCCTGGCAACAACAAAAGAGGACTACTCATCCGGCGGCGGCGGCAAATAAAAGTTGCTGACTGGCTGGCGGTGCAATAGCATAGAAAGGGAAAAACGATAGTAATCAGTTTGACACGCCTAATTGTCAATGCGCGCAGTGGCAGAAGTTGTTGTTTGTATGTAAACAGAGACAACTCCGATTTCTAGGTTGTACAGAAGCTGCTGCTGTACAGCAGCAGGGCTTATCAGTTCTTGATAAGGGGGTGATGGTGATGATATTGGTGATCACAGGTGTCCACCGCCGAGGTGATGAGGGTGACGGCGAGAAAGAAAGTGCATCGTCGGCGACGTCAGATTTTTTTTTGTTTTTGATGCAGCAGCAGAGTGGCGTCTGTTTTCACTCGCCGCCGCTGCTGCGCCCTTTGCAGTGGAAATCGGCGGTGGATCACATGTTTTGGTTTTTTGCCGATTTGTTGATCTGCACCAAAAAACATTGAGGACATTTTCTCCGACCGATTATCTTCTAAATTATCTTGTTCTTCTTCTTCTGCTCCAGGGAGAGCTTGAAAATCACCATGAACTACCGGGGCGGACTCAGCCTTTACTGCCGGCTACAGCAGCAGCTGATGCTCTGGCAGCGGTCTTCGGCTTCGGCGGCAGCAAATTCGTCAACAACAATGTCATCATCCTCGTCGATCTTCAGCCGTCACCTTTCATCCACCTCCTCTTCTTCTTCTTCCTCTTCATCGCCGAACCTCGACCTGGACCTCTTCGAGAAGCGAGAGAGCGAGGACTTTCCTGTGCTGAACATTCTTCCCTACAGTCGGACGCGGCGAGAGGCGAGGACCTTCTACAAGCCTGATGTAAGCTTTCCCATTTCGAACTTGCTGTTTCTATTTCTAATCTCTCCCCATTTTCCTCATTTTAGATGATCAGCCCTCGGTACAAGCGCATGGCCGTCAACCAGGACTGGGCCAGCGCCTGGCCGGCAGCTCGGACCTTTCACCCCGCCTCAGTCCCACTTCCACTTCACATGAGCTACGTCGACGACCTGAAGATGAACTCGCCGCTGCCGAAGTTCAACAACCCCGAGCTGCTGAAGATCCCCAACTTCCTCCACCTGACGCCGCCGGCCGTCAAGCGGCAGTGCGAGGCGCTGAAGAAGTTCTGCACCGCCTGGCCGGAAGCTCTAAAAACGGACGAGGACCTTGATCGACACTTTCCCGTCTCGGTCACCACGAAGGACTTTGTCTTCTCGGCCGCTTCGCTTCGCTGGCCCGAGGCTCGGGTCGTCGAGTTGAAGATCAAATTAGCTGATCTAAAATTGGACGATCACGCCTCGGATAAGATGAAGCGCCTCCTCCGCCACCGATATGATCCGCAGACGGACCTGATCACCCTCAGGACGGACAGCTGTCCGCTGCGGGCGCAGAACCTCGAGTACGGGCAGTACCTCCTGACGGCGCTCTACTTTGAGTCCTGGGTAAGATGAGGGTTCGATTTCGATTTCGAAATTGCGTTCTATTTTAACTCCTCCTCTTTTTCCCCCCACCCACCAGAAAACCGAGCCCTGGGAGGCGGAGAAGGCGTACAGCGACTGGGAGCGCTACTTCTGGGAGAAGAGCCCCTCGAAGCGGTCCATCAGCGAGTACNCCACCCACCAGAAAACCGAGCCCTGGGAGGCGGAGAAGGCGTACAGCGACTGGGAGCGCTACTTCTGGGAGAAGAGCCCCTCGAAGCGGTCCATCAGCGAGTACCTGCAGAAGGCCGACCCGAAAGCTTTTCCCAATGAGAAGGCCATCCTCGGCAGCGAGCCGGTGCAGCGGTACGCCCGGGCGGTGGAGGACATGGTCAATCGGGCGCAGTCGGCGCCCGTCCTGGGCGCCTACAAGGAGAGCGTCCTCAAGTTGCTCTTCTGAGTTCATCAAAAGCCTCTTTACTTTACTTTAGTGTTTGTAACCTCTATAGGAAAACAGAAATAAGACGACGTTTGTACAGCTTCATCGAAT